ATCTGTAATGCAAAGATTCAGCTGCAGGATTTCTAAGGGTAGCATCTCATTCAGACTCTGAATACAACCAACGTAGTGGTCCTTTTTTTATGATCATGCACTTTGTAAATTTTGGTACTGACAGCTGAAAAGATGTCTCTATCCTTTGAGGCTTTAAAATATGCTTTTTATCGAATTAGCACTTCAAGGGGAATGAAAATGAAATTAGTTTGTGTTGGCTGGCGATAAGGCGTTACACATAGCAGCCAAACTTAAAATCCAAAGAGGAAGTCTGTCCTCAATTTTCTGCACTATTACTTACTGTGTGTGTTTCCCTTTCCTTAAACAGTACAGGTGAAAATGGGTGGCAAATCAAGTGAAGGAGAAGTTGTGAAAATTCTGTTAGGAAAAATAAAGCACACAGGCCTGATCCATGAATCATGAGGCTGGAATATTTTAAAGGGAAACAGAGTTCTCCTTCCTGTGCCTGCACTACCAGCGAGGATTTAAAGCGAATGTGCAGCTCTGGTGAAGATTAGAGGGCAATGCAGAGAGTGTTGGGACTGTGGGGTTTTTTGTTTTGTTATTTTTTAAAGCAATGGGCTATGATATTAACCATGACCCGGACCAAGCTACAGTAGAAAGGAAGTGATCAACATGTTCCCCTAAAAAATTTCCATTTGATACTCAACTGCACAGAGTCAGAATTTTTAAAGAGAGCCAGACTTCTTTCAGAAATGTACCTGCTTGGCTTCCAGAGTCTAGGATATTATATATTATATAATGTCAGAGTTTGGACCGTACCTATGGAAAGCTTTACGCTGCTGACAAATGGAGGCAATAATTAAAGCTCCGAGCTCACCATTGCTGAACCCCAAAAAAAGTCAAGAGTGATTGCTCAGGTATGTGATTATTAGCTTTCCCTTACAGGGGGATGAGATCCAGATGTTCATTGTGTCTGCTGCTTGAGTGAAGGAGGGCACTCCAGCTCCCTCTCACATGTGGGTACGACTCACTCGCTCCAAAAAGTCTAATAATCAGCTACTTTTAAAATAGGTTTGATTGCCAAAACAAGCCGGCAGATGTATTTCCTTATATATATAGTTCATTGTCGTTATGGTTAGACAATCGACAATGAACTATATGCTTCATGATATTACTATAACAACGATGCAAAGATACTGAAAGGTCATTTGGAACTGAAAAAGGCCATCTTGTTGAGAGCAGCCATCTGGAGTCAAGGAAAGATAAAGGTCAAACCATGTCATTAGTATTAGACATGGCACGATACCACTTTTTTATGTCC